CCCCAAAACCCCAAAACCCCATAATCTATGATATTGTGAGTATAAAAATAAAGAAAGATTTTCTAATAATTATAAAAATGATATTAGTTAACGTAGCGCGAGCTTTGTATTTCATTTTCAGAGCCATATTTTGCAACTGGCAGCAAACTAATGAAGACTTTGGCTTGGAGTACTTTATTTAGGAGAAAGGCTAAGACTAGAATGAGAATTATTTCGAGGAAGCTCGCAAATCTACATTGAAAAGATCGCAAACAAAATAGTAAACTAAGGATTCAGTAGTAAATGATGTCTAATTACTTTGGACTAAGGTTATGGATACTCTTGGGAAGTATAATAAGATCATTGAATATGTGGCCAGCAAGAGAGTAAATATGTACATAAATTTGTTCAATGCTACAAGCAATGGCTAAACTCAATTAGACACTATTGAGAAGTATTGCATTATTAAAGATCTCAGAGAATAGATTCATAGCTTTAGCGAAAAATTATCATTGGTATAAACTAAAAAAAGGAACATGAGTATCAATACTCACTACTACGGAATAAGAAATATTGCAAGGAAAGATGATTCAAATTAAAATTTGACCATGCAATAGTCTCTTCTTGATGGATATTCAAACAACCTTAACTTCAAGAACTTCAGAATGAACGCAATAAATATTGGTGATGAGGAATCATAGTCAATGTCAAATACCTCTTTTGACCAACTCAAGTTAGAAGATGATGTTGATGAATTTATGTCGAAATGGTAGGTCTGCAAAGACATTCTTGAGAAATTTACTGTAAGACCATAAATCTAGAATCAATAGCAACCGTAGCAGAGTTATATTTCTCAGGATCAAATATAGCAGTACATATTTGAACTCTATGTCTCAGAAATTTTAGATACAAATAATAAGTAAGAATTTGAGGATTATTTAAGCAAAAGTGATAACTTCACTGCTCAGGATCAGAAGTACTTGAACTAGATAAATGAGATTTTATTCAAAAGAGAAGTTGAGATGTATAATCAAAAGTCTATGGAGTAATAAAAATATCTAGAATAAATCTAGATTGAGGCTTAATAAAAAATCAAGACTCTAGACTTCGAAACCACTTAAATTAAGATGAAATTCTAATAGGAAGGTCAATATGAAAGATACGAAAAAGTTAAGGATGAGAGAAAGAGTATAGGTAACTAAGGATATGTGATATCACCTTCAAATGAAATTATCGAAATCTTTAGCAACCTGAATATCTTGACAGATAAATAGTAACTTAGAGTGGATCAAGCTCTATTAGATCTTTAGAACATTAATGCTAAATTTAACTAAGATGAAAATCAAGCAAAGATTTTACTACATCAGATGGAGAAACTAGAAAATGATCAAAAAATTATTTAATGAGTAGCTATCTGCTTTCATTCATAAATTAAGTTGACTAGCGAATTCCTCATTTAATTGTTAAGTTAGCAAATATATTTCATCTAATTAAATAGTAATAAAATCTTTTCAATGGGGTTTTGGGGTTTTGGGGTTTTGGGG